TGTATCTCCAGGAGGTCTATTCGGTTCTTTTTGAAGGTTTCAGTCTGCTTGCTAAAGAATCCATTCTGCTCATCTAGTTGTTTTTTTAATTCTTGAAATTGTGATATGATTAGTTTCGGATCTCACTGAATTTCTTCAGAAGTACCATCCAGAATTTAAGTTGCATATTTCCATGTCCGTAAGCTTATTTTCTGGAGAGTTTTCTGAGCCGCCTGGTCACCTTGGTTGTTCATGGTGTTTAATGGACTATTTCTCTGCCTGGGCATTAATGGAAGTGTGTTCTGCTTTTTTTCTTTTTTTCCACAAAGAAGATTTATTATGTACTAGTCTCTAGCCTGTTGTAAATAAAGTGTTTTTCATTTGGTCTCCAGTAGGTGGCGTCTAAGCCTCTTGAATATCTGCTTTATATAAAGTGTTAATAATATCTTTTTTTTCTTTATAGATGTTTAGTCATGCTTGCTACCCTCAATCTCAGTTCTTGTCAGTGTTAGTGACAGTTTAGGTAGCGTTCACTCAGATTCTCCTGGCGCTCCGTTGCGTTACGTCTGGGAGGGTATGGGAGAAGGGGCCCTCTGGGTTGGGAGTTGGAGGCTGCGGCTCAGCCTCAGTTTTGCATCCGCGGGTGTTAAAAATCAACTGTTGCTTCTCTATTGTCCCTGCTTTTCTGCCATCCCTGGTTCTCTGCCTTATGCCCTGATGATTGTGCACTGCCGCCAGCCGTGTGGAGCTCACGGCACTCCCAGGCAGGGCTGTTCAGGTCACTCTCCGCACTTTCTCCCCGCCCCCGCTCCTACAGGGAGCTCCCAGAGGCAGCTTCTTTGTTTCTCCCAGGCCACTGCCCAACACCTGGGGTTCTGACCTCCGGTAGCTCTTATGTGAAGATCCCAGGCTCAGACGTGCTGGTGTGCAGTTTGGGTGGTTTTTGTTGAGTTTTAGAGGAGTTCAGCTTATTGTTGTTTCAAAGGGAGAGATCTGGTAATCTCTCTCTCGCTGCCACGTTTAATCTAATCTCCACCCTATGTCTTTTGATTGGAGCACTTAACCCACTTACATTGAAAATAATTGTTGATAGATACATAGTCATTGCTATTTTATTATTCATGGTTTTTATCTTCTTAAACATTATTTCCTTGAACATTTCTTTTAATTGTAGTTGTATCATTTTTAGTTTCTTTGTTACCTTTATAGTTAATATAACATACTATAACTTTTTGTTGTACCTAACTCTCAACATATTTCTTGTCTTCCCACTTTTTAGGGGTGGCTTTTAGTGTATCTATCTCTTCCTTTCCTGTTTTTAGCCCACTTCTAGCTTTCACTTCGCGTCATGTATTCTTTGACATTGTTAAAGCTGTTACCACAATTAAATCTTCCATGCTTTATCTGTTGAGTGTAGAGGTTAAAAAATAGTACTGTGAATAGCTTTTCTTCTGGATGTTTTATGCAAATATGTTTAGAATATGTACATTCTTTTCTAAGCCTTTCCTTATGAAATGTAACACAAAGAACAAATTTAAAGTCAATAAATAATAAAATTAACACCATTGTAAATACCAGCGAGACCAATAGATAAATATTGTCAGCCACCAGAAGCTCCGTGTATATTATTCTTCATGTCTTTTCATGCCCTGCCTGACTGTATCCTGACTTTGGTAATTACTTCCTTGATTTTCTTTAGTTTTACCACATAAGCATTTATCCCTAAATACTAATGTTTAGTTTTATGTTTCTTTGAAGTTTCTACAAATAGAACTAAACTGTATGTATTTATTGGTTAGCATCCGTTGCAGAGCTGTTTTCTTTAGGTTAACACATTTATGAGATTCATCTTTGTGGTTGCACATATCTCCGGTTTGTTCATTTTCTTTGCTGTATGGCATGCCATTGTGTGACAATACCACAATGGAACTATTTTAATGTGGATAGTTAGATAACCTTTTTTTTTTTTTTAATGACTTAATTTGCCGTGAACATTCTTGTACATGTTTCTCATGTTTTCTCTTGTACATGTTTTTAATGACTTAATTTGCTGTGAACATTCTTGTACATGTTTCTCTAGGGTGTGTGTGTGTGTGTATGTGTATAAAATTGCTAGGCATAGGATATATATCTCCCTTTTGAAAGTACTGCCAAACTTCTTGTATATCTGATTCACATTTCTGCCAGCAAGCAGTATATGATAATTCCCATTGCTCCTCATTCTTACTAATGCTTGGTGTTCTCAGAATTTGATTTTTGCCAGTATGATAGGAATGTAAGTGATAAATGCATTGTGGTTTTAATTTGCATTGCCCAGATTACTGGTGACATTGAGCCTCTTTTCATATGCATGTCCTTTTTTTATTGGGGGGGGTCTGTTTTTCTCTTGGATATTTTGTCTTTTTTCTAACTGATTTATAATATTACATATATAATCTGAATATGAGTCTTATTCAGTATATGAGAAGGATGTATCTTTTCCTGGTTTATGATTTATGATTTGTGTTTTTCACTCTATAAGATATCTTTTGATAAACATGGATTTTTAATTAAAGGTAGTCAAATGTGTTTTTTCCTGTGTATACTGCTATTTGTTTCCTGTTTAGTAAGGAAATTTTCCCTATCCCAGGGTCATGAATTCCTACATGCTAAAATCTTTATAGTCTTGTCTTTCTTAAAACTAGAGTTGACTTTTTGTCTTTCAGATTGAGGTAGTGGTCTAATTTCTTTTTTTCCTTCTTATTTAGATATTCACTTATCTATATCATTTTCTTTTTAGTGCTACCTTTGTTATAAACCAAGGCTGTTTGGGGGCTTTTTGTTCTCTCTTGATGATCTTTTTGTCTATTCTCTTGTCAGTATCACACTGTCTCAATTACAGGAGCTTTAGGTGAGAGAGCAAATCTTCTCACCTTGTCCTTTAAGTGTTTTGGCTATTTTTGATTCTTTGCATTTTCATGTATGTTTTAGAATCTGCTTTTCAAATTCCACTAGAAGCGGGGTAGGTTTGGATGACATTGAATCTGTTGATTACTTTGGGGGAGAAATGATGTTTTTACAATAGTGACTTTTTCAGTCCATGAACATAGTATATATCTTCATTTATTTAGAGCTTTACTTTTTAAAAATTTTTAATTTTACCTGAAAAAGTCTTCGCATATATTGTTAGATGTTTTCCTGTCAGTACTTAATATTTTTGATGCTGTTGTTAATGGTATCTTTCTAAAAAAATTTCAATTTCTGAGTTGCTAGAAATAGAAATATAATTGATTTTATGTTAATTTTGTTAATTCAAAGCGTTTTGAAGGCTTTTTTTTTTGTCTTTTGTTTCTATTGGTACTGTCTCATGGTTGGATAATTTGAGGCCTGTATTATAAAACCTTTCTCCAAAGAAGATTTTTCATGTGCTTCTGCAAGGCACCTAGGAATATTTATTAGTGTAAGATCCTTTTAATCCAAAGCCAAGATTTGAGGATCTATGGGCCACTGTGGTGATACGAACCCTAACTATAATAAGCCTGTGAGGGAGCTTGTTTAATTCTGGTTTTGTCTTACTCTCAGAGTGTAGCCATTTGGGACTCAGTTTTAAAAAAGTGTGTGTGGAGGCAGGTTATCAGGCCTTTTCACTGGGCAGACTGTGGGATTTGACTTGGTTTGCTCAGCCTGTCAAAAATCAAAGCAGTTTCTCAGCTCTGTCTTCTGGATTGGCAAATGCCCTCAGGGCAAAAGAAGCTTTGAAAGCTGGATTTTGTGTTCTTGCCTTTTCTAGATTTGGGGTTTGCCTTTTCTTGATGCTTCTTCAATGCTTATAGGATTTTAAAAGTATTTCAATGAACATTTTCAGTTGAGCAGGAATTTGCGTTATAGCGTTTTTAAGAAAAAAATAAATTTGTCTCTCGCTTTGTAGGCTTTCTTTAAATGCCTGGTAATTTTCATTCTGTATAAGAATGAGGGAATAAGAAGGCTGTTGGAAAGTGTGTGTGTGTGTGTGTGTGCGCGCGCGCGCGCGTGTGCGTGTATGTGTGTGTGTGTGTGTGTGTGTGTTTTGCCTGACACTTCTACTATAGGGTGAGCAGGGATAGGACCAGATGTTATGCTGGGGGCCCTCAAATGCCAGAATGCAGAAAGCTTTACTGGGGGAACTGGCATTTTCAGAAGCTGCTCTAGTTCTCCGGATAATTCACTTAGTTCTTTAGAAGGGAGCCCTCTGATTTTTTTTCCCCTGCCAAGTTTTAAATACTTGTTTTCTGGGAGTGCTGCATGTAGGGAGGGTTGTGGGGAGATGGGGTCAGCTGTTTCTCATCTAGACCCTTGAGTCATTAACCCATTTAGCTTTGCGTCTCTTTCCTTATTCCTGGTGTCTGGGTCTGCAGCCTCTCCATGGGTTTCCTAGGCAGATGGGCTCCTACCTCTACTGCAGCTCCATCTGTGTTATTTTTAAGCTCATTTTTCCTCTGCACTATTTATAAACATACTCAGTCAGATTTCTGTTACTCAGCTTATTGTTGAAATCTCTTAACTGCTGATATACCCTCTATTCTTTTTGTAGATTTATATCTTTTCCTTAAACATTTTTTTCCTTTTGAGTGGAATCTTGGATGGGAAGGCATATAAACTTGTGGGCTTAGTATCTCATCTTGAACTGGAACTTTTTCAAAAGGTTATAAACTCTTGGCTTAGAGAACTTACCTCATGTATTTTGTATCACTCACCCCTTATATGGTTTTCATAAATGCTCATTAACTAACACAACAATTTCTTATCCCTTTTCCTGCCTCTGGTTCTCACTCTCCAGTATGCTTAATTCCCAGCTGCCCACCCTCTGTACCGACATGTTTTTCCCCAAGGATCTGTTGGATGGATAGTCTTCAGAACAAGTATTTTGGTCTTAGAGAACTGCCAGTACCAAAGCAGCTTCCACTTTAACCTTTCCAGTTTGTTACGCTCATCCAGCTCTTAAGGCATCTTGCTTAACACGTTGTTCTTTGTCTTTTTAGGTACTTTGGATTGATTGCTGAGCAGGGAAGTTTTGGGAGCCTTTACCTGCATCCTTCAGCTAGCTCTCTGTTGGCCTCAGCTTTGAAGAACAGAGTCCTTAGAATGTTGCACTTACACTTCCTGTTCTACCTTCACCTAAGCCGGAGTAAACAGAGATCTCATCTGTTAGTTTTTCTCTACAAGGTCTTCCACTGTTTGTGTCTTCCATTTCTGGCCTGGATGCAGCTGCCGCTACTTGGGGCAGAGATAAAATGAATTGTGTAGATTGCTGAATGAATGGTAAGGACTGGAATAAAAGTTACTGATCAACTTTAAGCTAGTGTGTTTCATAGTCTTGCATTTGTTCTCACTGCCATGACTGGAGAGCTACCATGCCCAGTCACAGACCTTCCTGATCTCCCTTGCCAGCCGTTCGAAACCTAAGCCTTTGCATTTATTCTTCATTTTTCCAGTATGTCACCAGAATTTGGTTCTAGAATTTACTAGATACTACTTAAGGTCTTCATAATGCCAATAAATGTGATTCTAAATTTAAAAGTAAATATAACATTTTAACAGCTTTATTGAGATATAATTCATATACTATATAATTCAGTCATTTAAAATGTAAATTTCAGTAGTTTTTAGTATATTTACAGGTATGTGTAACTCACAATTTTAGACCATTTTCGTATGAATAGAATTTTGTATTTTGTGTCTGGCTTATTTCACATAGATAACGTTTTCAAGGTTTTTCTGTGTTACAGTATGTGTCAGTACGATTATTTTTATATTTTAACTGTGGTGAAATACCCAACATAAAAATTACCATTTTAACCATTTTTAAGTGTACAGTTTTATGGCATTAAGTAAATTCATATTTTACTACCATCACCATCATCCATCTCCAGAACATTTTTCATCTACCCAAACTGAAACTCTGTACCCACTAAACAGTAACTCATTTTCCCATCCCCCTGCCTCTGGCTAAATTTTGGGTTTTGCAGGGAAGATATGGGTGACGTAGCAGGAAGGAGGCAGAACTTGTAGGAAGTAATAGTTAAGGAAAGCGCCAAGAAGCCTTGGAGAGTGGGTCTTAAGTATTTTTGGATCATGGATTGAATATACAGAGTTCACAGATCTCCCTAGAATGTACAGATGCTTAGTCCTGTTATATTTTGTAAATAAACTTTATATTAGAGTAATACTAGATTCAGAAAAAAGTTGCAAAGATAGTGCGGAATTCTTACATACTCCTCACCTAGTTCCACTGTTAACATTTTAGATTGCCACGTACACTTATTAAAACTCAGAAACTGACATGTATTTGTTACTATTAACTGAACTCCAGACTTTGTATTTCTCCAGTTTTCCTATTATATCTTTTTTTTGTTCCAAGATCCAGTCCAAGATATTACATTACATTGACTTGTTATGTTTCCCCAGTCTACTTTGATCTGTGACAATTTCTCAATCTTTTCTCATTTTTCATGACCATAACAGCCTTCAGTAGCACTGGTGAAGTATCCTGTAGAATGTCCCCCGACATGCATTTATTTTTCTCGTGATTAGTTTCATAACTTTTCATATAAGTTAAGGTTTACACAGACGCCCGAGGCCCTTCCATGGGCCTCATTATTACTGCAAATAGGAATTTAAAAGGGCATGCTGGCCTGTTTTTAAGATAAATTAGAGGTGGTAGCCCATTAGTGGGATAGGAAATTGATGTAGTATGTTGCCACTGGCCTTTTAAATAATATATTAAAAGCATCAGAGTGTTGAGTAAGGGCAAGTATTTTAATTTTTGTTTTGTTTATATGTGCGTATTCTAGGTCATTGTATAAAATGTATGTGGTGGGCAGAATTTCCCCATTACCTTCACCCTTGGTTGTCATGCCTGTTGAATATGTTACATGGCAAAGGGGATGTTGCAGATGTATAGGCATACCTTGGAGAAAATGTGGGTTCAGTTACAGACCACTGCAATAGAGCAAATATTGCAATAAAGTGAGTCACAATTTTTCTTGCTTCCCAGTGCATATAAAATTATGTTTACACTATATTAAGTGTGCATTAGCATTATGTCTGAAAAAATGTACTGTACATACCTTAATTAAAAAATATAGCTAAAAAATGCTAATCATCTGAGCCTTTAGTGAGTTGTAATTATTTTGCTGATGGGGGTTCTTGCCTCGATGTTGATGCTGGCTGACTGATCAGGGTGGTGGTTGCTGAAGGTTGGGGTGGCGGTGGCAATTTCTTAAGACAACAATGAGGTTCGCTGCATAGATTGACTCTTCCTTTCACGAACGATTTTTCCATAGCATAGGATGCTGTTTGATAGCATTTTACCCACAGTAGACCTTCTTTCAAAATTGGAGTCAGTCCTCTTACATCCTGCTGCTGTTTTACCAAAGTTTACACAACATTATGAATCCTTTGTTGTAATTTCAGTAGTCTTCACAGCATCTTAACTGAGAGTGGATTCCATCTCAGGAAACCACTTTCTTTGTTCATCATAAAAAACAACTCTTCATCTATTAAAGTTTTGTCCTGAGATTGTAGCAATTCATTCGCGTCTTCAGACATCACTTCTAATTCTGGTTCTCTTGCTATTCCATCATACTCTACTGAAGTCTTGAAGTTACCATGACAAATATGAGGAAGTTTGAGATGTTGTGAGAATTACTAAAATGTGACACAGACATGAAGCGAGCAAATGTTGTTGGAAATATGGAGCTGGTAGGCTTGCTTGATGCATGGTTGCCACAAAATTTTGATTTGTAAAAACCCGCAATATCTGTGAAGTACAATAAAGTAAAGCACAATAAAACATGGTGTGCCTGTAATTAACGTTAGTAATCAGTTGACTTTTAAAATAGTTTATCCTAGATTATCTGGGCAGGCCCAAAGTGATCACATAAGCCCTTAAAAGCAGAGCTTCTGGCTGAGGGTAGAAGAGAATGCCAGAAAGATTCAGAACATTAAAAAGACTTGAGCAATGCCTGCTGGCTTTGAAGATGGGGGAGGGCCATGAGCCAAAGAATGTGGGCAGCCTTTGGAAGCTGAGAACAACCTTTCACTGACAGCCAGCAAGGAAACAGCAGTCCCACTGTGTTGAACTGAATTCTGCCAGTAACTCGAATGGTCTTGGAAATGGATTTTCCCTTAGAACCTGCAGACAGAGCCCAGGCCAACTGTTCCTTTCGCTTTGGCCTTTGGCCTTGTGAGACCCTGAGCACAGAATCTAGCCACACTGTGCCAGACTTCTGACCTGCAGAACTGAGGTAAATGAGTGTTGTTTTAAGCTGCTGAATTTATGGTAATGATGTATTTTTTACTGAGGCTCAAGGTAAAAAAAAATTGGAAAATACTGCTGTAGTGTTAAGGATCATGGATGGGGGTCAAGAGACTCATCTCGCCACTCCTACGACCTTAGATGACAGCATGTCAATAACCCCCCTTGAGTTTTCTCTTGTCAGTTGAGTGGGTTATTCTAAAGTTTCTTCCACATGACATTTTTCTATTATGAACTGCTTTGTTTTTTTCAGTAAAATTTACCTTCTTTAGTGCACAATTCTATGAGTTTTGATAAAGGCATACAATTACCATCTCGATCAAGGTATAGAACAGTTACATACCACAGAAATTCCTCTCCCACTCCACTGGTGCCTCAGCCCCTGGCAACTACTGATCTATTTATTGCCCCTATAGTTTTGCCTTCATAAAAGTAGTTATACAGCATGTAGACTTTTGAGTCTGGCTTTTTAAATTTATCATAATGCATTTTAGATTCACCTGTGTTGCGTGTATCAGTAGTTTGCTCCTTTTTATTGCTGAGTAGTATTCCATTGTATGGAATGTGTGTGTCATTATTTTGTTTCTCCATTCCCCAACTGAGGGATGTTTGGGTTTCTAGTGTCAGTGATTATAAATAAAGCTGCTATAAACATTTGTGTACAGGTTTTTGTGTGAACATAAATGTTCATTTCTCTTGGGAAATACATGTGGAAATGCTGGATTTTATTGTAAATGTATGTTTAATTTTTAAAGAATCTGCCCAACTGTTTTCCAAAGTGGCTGTACTATTTTGCATTTGTATCAACAGTGTTTGAGAATTTCAGGTATTCTGCATCCTTGCTAGAATTTGGTATTAACTTAAAAAAAAAATTTTAAAAAACATTCTAATAGGTATGTACTGCCTTCTCATTGTGGCTTTAATTTGCATTTCCCTAATGAGTTGTGTGTTGAGCATGTTTTTCATGTATGTATTTGTCACTATAAGACTTCTTCGGTAAAGCGTCTGCTCTCATCTTTTTCTTATTTTTAAAATTAAGTTGATTTTGCCCCCTTCCCCCTGATTTTTAAATTGAGTTTTGAGAGTTCTCTTTGTATTCTGGATACAAGTCCTTTATCAGATATGTGTTATGCAAATATTTTCTCCCAGTCCCACCTGACATTAAGTTATTTTTAATTGTATAAATAATTCTTAACTGCATTCAGTTTTGTTGGTGAAATAACTAATGTGAGGCGCCTGTGGCTTCCAGGGGACTCCTTGCTGTTTTGATATTTCTGTATAAGGCCTGTGGAAAAGTAGGGCTTCCTTCGTGGTCAGCAACTACTGTGCCTTTCTCCTGCCTTGTTGTTCATCTATCAGGCATGGACTAGTGGGTCAGGAAGGGAGGTTGAGTTCCCAGTGTAGCTGGCTGGAAGTGCTAGAGTGGAATTTCCTGGTGTCTTACTTAGGTCACACATGGGTTTGGGGGAAGGCAAATGAAAATGAGACCATTACTAGGTTTTAAGTAGGGTGAAGGCCTCAAGCTTCTGAAACCTGGTGTTAACAATGCAAAAGCCTAACATTCTAAAAGAATAAGAGTAAATTATGCTAAAAATTCAAAAAAATTAAAGTTTGTCCCTGTTTCTTCTTTTTTTGTGTGTGTTTGAACCAAGGATCTGACATTGCTTACTCAAGGCTAAATAGCTTCGAATAGCCCCATGCTTAAAGCATTTTTCTTTATTTTCCCAATTAATTGTTACAGATATATTCTACCTCATCTTGGATATAGTTTTACTTTTTAGGGTTTTTTATTCCTGCTTTCCCATGGGGATCTTATTTCCCTTGCCAGATCTATAAAATTTAGGTAACTTGGGATCTTCAAGAAACAATGAATTCTAAATAGTGGGTATGTATATTTGATTCAGGATGGCAGAGTGAGTATTCTTCACAGTCTCCCTTCTCTAATACCTACCTAATTAAATAAATGAACAATCACTACCCGCAAGTTCATACAAATTAGCAAAGTATTTTACCTCGACAGTCAAATAGGGAATACATTGCAG